GGTCATGAGTCAGCGGCCCTGCTACCTCAGATCTCGGTGGCCGCTGCCCACTTCGGCTTCTCCGTCCTTGTCCTTCTCTGGGGCCCGGGCCGGCGCGTCCCCCCCGGCGTCCACGTCCCGCACCTCTTCTTCCGCCGCCGCGGGGCCGCCGCCGCCCTGGCTAGAGGGCCGCGACCCTGTCCTCCGACGCCGGGAGCCACCCGCGCCGCCTCGGTCGCCCATGGTTCAGCCGGCACACTGCCACCGGGTCGTGTCCCGTGGGGCTCTCAGCGCCCGAGGCCCCGGGCCCCGCCTCCCGACTCAAGGCCAACCGCCGCCACCGCCCCCTGCCGGCCGCCGTAGCCCGCGCGCCTCGGACCCACCCACAGACCGCCGCGGAGCCGCTCAGTGGCTGGCGGAAGGGGCGCACGCCCATTTGTAGTTCGCGAGCGCGCGGGGCACTCTGGGAGTTGTGGTCGCCCGGCGCGGGGCCACCTGGGAGTCCTGGTCGCCCGGCTGGGTCGAAGGCCGAGGCAGCTGGTGGCGGGCCGCGCCCCTGCTGTCCCGCGCGTCGGCGTCTCGGTGGCAGCGGGCTTTGTGGCAGCTCTGCGCCTCCGCTGGCCGCTGGTCTGCCCCACGGCTTCTCCATAAATTCAGGCACAGAGTGTGGGGTGGAGGTTGGTTATGAAACGCGTCACGCGTTACCATCCGGTCGCCGGCCGGAGCGCTGTCCGCGGGGACTTGCCGCGCCCACCACCCAGCGCGAGTGTCGCGGAGCAGCACTAGTGACCACCGGACCGGACGCCCGCCCTGCCGCGGGTAAGGCGCGGGCCTCCGGTGTGGCCACGCCCCTTCACGCTCTCTCCAGCCGGTCTCCGGCCCACGTCCGCAGACCTGCTGGCCCTCCCCGTTTCCCACCTGGGCTAGTATAGCCAGGGCGTAGGGAGCCTGGGTTGTCGGATCGCGGATCCAGAGGCTTCTGTGTCATTGCAAAGTTTGTGCAGTCTCCCCCGTCGTTAGGTAAAACAACTAATCCACGAACACAAAAACGCAGCACGCAGGTGGGCGAGTCCGCGTCCCACCTCGGCTTCCTCCGCATCCTGCACGGGGCATGGATTGTAAGCGGCATGGATCTCGGGGTGCGGGGGCTTACTGGAGGCTCAGGCCTGGCTTACCCAAGAAATTCGTAGCAGCAGAGCCCATTGGCCATGGGTGAGAAGAGCACCTCTCGGGAAGCTAATAACCCCAGAGGTGCAGCCTGAGGTCACTGGCCTCTCCTATGGGCCTGGCTCACCCCCGCACCACCACCTCTACAAGGATGCCCAGGCCTCCCGGTGACACATTCCTGCTACCACTGGGCTTTCTGGAGCTGATGTCAGTCTGGCATTCCTATCTGGGAGGCTGAGGCTACCTGGCAGGTTTCTTCGAGTAGCTTGCTTGGAGGCCACCCTAAAGGGAGGGAAAGAAGCCTTCGCGTGCCCACGTGGCCCATCCTCAATGGGTCAGGATCGGCCCGTCTCCTATCCAGCCTCCAAGAACGTTCATCTGTTTGTCAGCGACCCAGGACGGGCAGAGTACTGATCCCAAGGGAGGGAAGACAAAGGAGAGGGTCCTCTTGGGAGGTCCAAGAGTAAGAGTGAGCCCTGGGAGCTTTGCCACTCCTTCCCCGCTCCATTTCCCAGGCTGCGAAGAGTGAAGACCTGCACTGGCGCCCACGTGTCCCTGAGTGCCTTCTGGCCTTTTCCTTCCCTGATACAGACCAAAAAACCTAGAAGGATGGCCCCGAGCTGGCGCGCGCATTAGCGAAGATCAACGGCTCAGGCTACCAGTAGGTTCCTAGAGGCTGAGTGCAGTAGCCAACGAGAAATGCAGGTCCTGGTTCTAAGCGGTCTGCTGGCAAGTGGTGGTGGAGTGAAGTGTCCAGAATGTCCCGGGGACAGGGGTTAGGGGGAAGCCAAGGTTTCCTCACCAGAGTGGAAAGCGAAGACAGCAGGGCTGCTGGAGCCAATGGGAAGATGGGAAGACACGGACTGTGAGCACACCCATGAGACAGAACCTGGATACCTGCAAGGACTGGTGGGCGGGGGGACCCATGTGAGCCCTACCCCGAGCAGCAGGCCCACACGTTCTGTCCTGCTGCAGGTCAGGCTCCCCTGCTGTCCACCGGTTGGAGTCTGGGAGGACTCACCCCCTGCCACGATGGGTACAGCCGTGCTGCCCTTGCGCTGACCTAGTTTGACCACATGTCTCCAGGACTTTGGGCCTCTCAGCTCCTGCCTGCCTATCTGGGTGTCAGAGGGCATTGCTGGGGTAAAGGGTCCCAGTCCCAGGGCTGTCCCCACCCATTACAGCCCCACCCCTCATCTCCCCAACTCCACTCATCCCTCTCTAGAGCCCTAGGGCTGTGCGTGACTGTGGAAGCCTCTCTGGCCCTGAGCACCTCCTTCCCAGGACCCTGGAGGCCTCTCCTCAAACTGCTGAAACCCACCCCCCAAGTCTGAGGGTCAGGATGTGGAAAGGGGGCCGCAGGAAGGGATCAGACCTCACATACTTTTCCATCCCCATTGTCTCCAGTGGCCTCCAGAGGCCTTGCTGGTGGCTGCCAGTTCTGCTGGGGCGGCAGGAGCTCCTCCCGGGACTGTGGGGGCACCTCGGGGTCATAGCACTGCTGGTACTGCTGTGCCTGCTCTGGCCATTCAGGAACCGCCCTGAGCTGGGCCTGACTACATGCTCGGCCCCTAGCTCCTCCAATTCCTCGAATAGAGTAGATTCACCTGCCACAGGAGAAGTGCCCAGTGCTTGGCCTTGGGGAGAGGAATGCTCCTGGAGCTTGAAGCCCCACCACCACCACCACCACCACCACCCCACCCCCGGTAGACGATAACTCTTGCAAAAGGGGACACGGGCGCACCCTAGCAAAAGGCGGCTGCATGTCCCCAGGGCTGCGTGAACAGGCTGCCACTCCCAGCACCGGGCCTGTGCCACCTGCACTCCAGGACATAGCAACATTGGAACGACGCCCCCAAGACGTTCCCTGCAGAGCAGGCCCTGCCCTGGATACACCAGCCCGACACTCCAAGTTCTATCAAGAGTGGCGTTTATTCTCCTTGTGGAGGTGCGGTGCTCCGGGGAGCTGGTGCTATTGTGCTTAGGAAGGAGGTCTGTCCGTCCGTCCGTCTGTCCGGCCGGCCCGGCCCCAAATGGGGGCGGAAGAGGGGCGCGGCCCGAGTAAAAATCCCGGCCTGTTCCGGGTGGGAAGTATGTACAAGGCGGCGGGGCGCAGGCGGAGGTGGGGGCGGGGCGGGCCGGCGGCCGCAGCCCCCACCCGAGGGCCCCCGCATCTCGGGCCCTACTTGTAGAATCAGTACAAAATAGGTGCTACCTAAACGTTCCTTCTACCTGAATTCGCTAAGTCGGTTATTGTGCTGCTTAGTTATGGGGGCAGGAGGGGGCCCATGGCTTTCCACGGCGGCGCGGTGTGGGGAGAAGCAGGAGGCCCTGGCCGGCCCACGGCCCTCCGGCCTTCTCCTTAGGTAGGTAGACAGGCGTGGGAGGGGAGGGGAGAGGGAGGGCGCCTGTGTGTGTGTGTGTGTGTGTGTGTGTGTGTGCATGCGGGTGTGCCCGACACAGGAGGGCAGGTCCCGGCTTGGGGGCTGTGTGGGTACCGAGCTGGGATGTAAGGGTCTGGGATGTGGGCCCTGCTCTGCTGGGCCCTCGAGTCCACCCGTGCGGATGCAGCTGGGCAGCAGCGGGGCTTGGTGCCCAGGGGGTGGGGCTGACCAAGTCATAAGCTCCAGTGCACCCTTCCATTTGTCCTGGGGCCCTGGCCCAGCAGGGCAGAGCTGGGAGCCAGAGCATGAAAGTACTGGGGTGGGTATGGGCGGCCTTGGTGGCGCTCGACCCTGGGGCTCTAGGTGTCTGCCACCGAACTGAGAACGCCAGGCCCAAGTCGAAGGCAGAGCCCGACTGCTCCCAGCACTTTCCCGGGGTGGGGTGAGGGTGGGGCGCGGGTTCTGGTCTAGGGACTCGGCCTCCGTCTCCATCTGTCGCCGTCCCTGGCGCACCCAAGAGAGCTGTGCCCCTGTCAGAATACGCACGCCCCCCGCAGCTTGCCGCGGCCTTGGCAGACTCAGTAGTGGGCCTGGCACATAGTAGGTACCCAATGAACGGTCAGTGGGTGATGGACAACTGAAGGGGGGGTTTGGGGGCAACCGTCCCCCGCCCCCGCCCCTGGAACCAATACACCGCCGGGCTCTGCCGTGGGGGGGGGGGGGGCGGGGCGGGGCGGGTAGGGAGTAGGAGGGGAAGAAAGTCTGCGCGTCCGGCCCCGCGCAGCGTCCCTGATCGAGGGGCCTGTGGGGCGTGGGCAGGGCAGGGGGATACCTGATTCTCAGTAACTCTAGAGGCGGCGGCAGCTTCGCATGCAGTGCGCATTATTGCTCTATAGTCAGCATCGGACTAACTAAGAGGGGGAGGGAACGGGCAGCCCCGGGAAGGGGAGGGAGGAGGGTTGGGGCTGCATGCAGTGACGTCACAAAGGCGGCGGCCAATGGGGCGGGCCCTTGGGGCGGAGTCGCCGCCGAGGCTTTGGCATAGACGGGCGAAAGTTGGCAACAGAGTGGGGGAGGGGCCTGGGGCTCGGGGGAGGGGCCAGCCTCTGAGAGGCGGGGCCTGAGGCTCCCAGGAGGTGGGGCCCCGGTGGTGGCGGGGTTCAGGGGCGGGGAAGGTGATCCTGGACATCCCAAGCCCCGGGCGTCGGTGGGAAGGACGGGGCGTCAGCGCCCCTTCCCTGACCCGAGTGCAATCTGTTCATAAATAAAACGTACAAATACAGAAAGAAAGAAACCCGACGCATCCGCAGCCCCCCCAGGGGGCTTTACCCGCGAAGCGAATACAGAGAGGTGTGTAGAGGGCCAGGCCCAGGCCTGCCTGCCGGGCCCCAGGAATCCGTCCTCCAACACGGAGTGCCCGGGTACGAGGGGTGGGGGGCCCGGGGCTGGGCGGGGACGGGGGATCGGAGGAGGTCGGATAAGTCCATGCGATTCGATATGCGTCATTATATTCGTTATGGAGGACAGAGCCCGGGAAGCAGGGCTGGAAGAATTCGATTTGGCAGAGGACGCGAGGCGAGGGTGAGAGAGCGGCTCGGACTGAGGCCCCAGAAGGAACCCGAGGGAAAAGGGTGCCGCTGTCCTCCTCCCTCCCGGTCCTCGGTGCGTCTAACACTCCGGGGGTCAGCGAAGACTGAGGCGCAGGGAGGCCTCGGCAGGCCGCGCTCCTGCTCCTTCCGGGCCTGCTGCTGGGGCGGGACCGGCTCCCTGGACGTCTAGGCCGCAGGCCCGACCCTGGAAGGCTCGGGAAGGGGCGGGGAAGACCTGAGTCTCTGCGACAAGATCCGGGGGCGCAGATGAGGGAGGAGGGGCTCTCCCTGCCTCACCCCGCCCCCGTTTTCAGAAACCTAACTCGGAGATGAGGTTCGGTTCCGGGTCTCCTCGACCCTATTGCTGGGAAAAAGCCTGGGGCACCCTGAAGGGGAAGGGAGGGAGCTCGGGGTGGGTCTCCCCTCGGGACCCTATTGCTTGAAGGGGCCGGCGAGGCCCCTGTCGGGCGGGGCGGGGCCCCCTCCCCCTATTGCTGTGAGGAGGGGCCCACCCTCCTGCCCCTCCACCCGAGCGCCGGCGGAAACTTCCCCGGGGGCCCACATTGCTGAGAGCCGACCCAGCTGACCGAGGCGCCGCCGCCCTAAGCCTGCACCGGGCTGAGCTGCGGCGCGGCCGGGGCGGCAGGGCCGCTGCCGCCAGCGCCGCCCTTGAAGCAGGCCGACTCGTAGTGCTTGTTGAGATAGGACTTGAGCGCGAAGCTCTTCTTGCAGCGCTTGCACTGGAAGTGCTTGAAGGCCGAGTGCGTCTGCATGTGCGCGCGCAGGTTGGAGCGGTCGGCGAAGGCCTTGCCGCAGTGCGCGCAGCCGAAGGGCTTCTCGCCGGTGTGGGAGCGCATGTGGCCCTGCAGCAGCCAGGGCCTGGAGAAGGCCTTGCCGCACACGCCGCACTTGTGGCGCAGGTCGTGCGTGAGCAGGTGCATGGCCATGGCCGGCATGGACACGTACACCTTGCCGCACGTCGGGCAGCGCCGCGCCAGCTGACTGTCCAGGCTGCGGTGCGTCTGCTTGTGGCGGCTCAGGTTCGACGACGTGGCGTACGTTTTCCCGCACTCACCGCAGGCGTGCCGGCCCCCTGCACCGCCAGCCCCGGCCCCCGCGCGGGCCTCAGTGCCTGCGCGCGTGCTAGCCCGGCCGCCAGACCCTACAGCGCGCGCACCTGCCACAGCCCCGCCTCCACCGTCGCCGTCGGGGGCTGAGGCCGTAGAGGGGGCGGCGGCGTTGGCGTTGGCAGCCTTGCGGCGCGAGCGCCCATCGGTGATGAAGAAGGCGTCAGCCGCGTAGCCCTCGCTGACGGCGGCGTCGCCGTTGATGTAGCCGCCAGCCGCTGTGGCCAGCTCCGGGCGCGGGGTGGGCGGTGGCGCCGAGCCCACGGCCGCCGGGCCCAGCTCCCCCCGTACCGCCGCAGCGTACATGGGCTCCGGGGACGGCCCTTTAAGCAAGGCCGCCTCGGTGTCGCCATCGTAGACGGAGGCAGGACCCGCGTAGTCGTTGAGGTATCCTGAGGTCCGAGGCGGACAGACAGGCAGACAGCGGGAAAGGAACCGGGCAGCGGGCGAGACACACACAAGCGGGCGGCAGGAGACACCAGAAAGAAGGGAACGGGAGAAGGACAAAGGGGAAGGGGCCGGGGGACCGCGGGGCAGGAGGATGAAGGCGGCAGGGAGGGGAAGAGAGGAGAGGAGAGATGAGACCCAGTCGGGCCCAGCTCCGCCCCCGCCGCCCGCCGGCCCCACCCCTCGGAGGGAGGAAGACGCGCATCTTCGGCGCGGCTGCCCCCCTTCAGCAGAGCCTCAAGGTCAGGGGGGAGGGGCGGCGCTTCCCTCGCCCTTTTCCCCCTTCCCCTCCCCCTTGGGTTCTCCCCACTTCAGCAGTTTTCTCCGATTATGCAACACGCTGCAGACCCGCAGCGCACAAAGCCAGTGGCTCCTGACCAGGGACCCCACCACTGCCGCTTCTCAGGGTTTCCACCGGCTCCCCCCCACCCCCCGCCCCCACTCTCAGCCTTGATGCTGCCCCTCTCTGGTCCTTTAGGTCCCACAGTAAGCCCTGGAGTCCCTCCCGCAGGCCCTGGAGCCCTCCCTGGCCCACCCTCTCCTCTTCCTCACTGGACTTGACCCTTCCGGTTCCAGACCCATCCCTCTCCCTCCACTCTGCTGCTCCCTGCACTTCCTTTGGTCACCCTGCACCCTTGGGTCCCACCTTGTCCCCCACTGTCCTTTCCCCCTGGCCCTAACCCCCGTGGGGGCCTTCCCAAGACCGGCCAGGCAGCCAGGGCCAGTGCCAGGGCGTCCACCAGGGCACACCTTCCCAGCGACAAGACGCAGGCCAGCGGCACTGCTCACGCTGGTAACTGCAGTTGTTCTCCAGGCGCAAGATGGGTCTCTCAACCTCAGTCACAAACGCACACTCAACACGGGGCAGACTCTGGCTTCTTCAGGGCCACCGCAGCCACCAGCAACCCTGGCACCCCCTCACAGGGGAGCCCCACGCTGGCCCTGGGACACCTGCAGCTACCTGGACAGACTCTCAGCAGGGCTGCCAGTCACATGGGTGCATAGTGGCCCCGGAGTCACATGGCCCCATGTAGTGGCACACAGGCAGGCACACACTCACACGGGGTCACACACACGCGCAGTCACATGGCCACACGCAGTCACATGGGCGCACACAGGCACACACACGGGCTCATGCTCCTGCAGGTCACACTTGTTCTGCCCCCCTATGTTGCTGGCACTCTGGGACCCTGGCCTGCATGCTCACAGATGTCCTTGAACTTGGGTGCCCGCACACAAAGAGCTTCCCCCTGCCTCCAGCACCCTGGACCTCCCCTGCCCACGTCCTTCTTCCTGACCCCGGCTTCGGGGAGGATCCCGCTGCTGCCTCTGCTGGTATCTTCAGCCTGACAGGTGGGCGGCCCCTGCTGGACCCCACGCCTGCTCCCTGGAGCCCGCACCCTCCCCCGCTGGCCCTAGCAAGCAGTCTCGGGAGGAGAAGAGGGTGCTGAGGCAGGCCCCGGTTTCTGGGTGTGGGTCTGCATGCAGCACGAGGTCCTGTCGCGTCAGCAGGGGTCCCTGCGGCGCGGGTCACAGTGCGAGTCAGTGTGGGTCTGCGGGTGCCTCCTGCTCCCCACCCTCTCTCAGCGCTGACACTTTCGCTGCCCAGCCTCGGGCCAGTTCGGGTCTGACTCTGCTTCCCCCTCTCCCCACCCCCATCTTCATCCCCTCCAGTTTGCTTTCGGCCGCCGCCTCCTGCTGGTCCGCTTCCCCGGGGTCTGTGGTCTGTGGCCTGGGGCCCCTGCCCCCTCCCGCGGCCACTCGGGCCCTCCACTCCTTCCAGCTCTGCCCAGGGCCCCACGCCGCCCCCAGCCTCAGCCCGGCTCGCACCTTTCTCGTGCAGTCGCACGCCGAGGTCGCTGCGGGCGCGCCCGTAGGAGCTCTCGAGGTCTGCCGAGGAGAACGTGTCAAGTTTGACCTTCTTGACCAGGAAGGACCTGGGCATGATTCCTGCGGGGCTCCGGCGCTGCGGGCCTGCGGAGCCGGGGCGCGGGGGGGGCTGCAGCCGCGGCGAGGCCCCGTCACCATCCGAGGAGCGGCGGGAGGTACGCGGGTCCCCACTCCGGCCTTCGGGTGCTGCCGCAGGAGCGCCTTCCTCGCCGCCTGCCTGCGCGTCCTGCTCGGCTCCTGCCTTCCGTCCTCCCTCTTCTCCACTCTTCGCCTCTCGCCTCTTGTCTCTCCTCTTCCTTCCTTCCTTCCTCTCCTCCTTCCTTCCTTCCTTCCTTCCTTTCTTCCTTCCTTCCTTCCCTCCTCTGGTCCCGGCTTCCCAGCCCGCAGTGCCGCCCCTGGACAGGCGGGGGAGGAGGCTGGGGGGGCGGGAGGGGGGAGCGGCTCCGTCCCGGGCCCAGAGGCTGCGGGTGGGTGCAGGGCTGGCCCGGCTCCGCGGCCCCCTTCCCCTCCCCCCCGCCGCCGCGGCGGAGCCTCAGTCAGCGACCCCCCATGTCCCCGGGGGTGGCGGCGCCGGGCCCGGCGAACACGGCGGCGGCGGGAGCGGCGGCAGCTTCAGCACCGCGGCCAGCGCCGGCCCGGCCAGCACCTCGGCCAGCGACCCGGCGCGCTCTGCGGGCGCGGGCGGCGAGGGGCGGGCCGCGGGGGCTCGGCCGCCGGGCGGGGGTCCTCGGCGGGGGTCTCTGGGAGGCTGGCTTTATTGTTCTGCAGCCGGAGCGAGCGGCGGCGGCGGCGGCGGGCGGGGGGCGGGGGTCCTCGGGGGGAGGGGTGCGCAGGGAGGGCGGGCCGAGGGAGGGGGGAGAGACGGGGGCTCCGGGGGCGGGGCTCGGCGCTCGGACAGCTCCCGGGCCCGGCCTCCTGCGCCCGCCGCCGCCTCTGCCTGCGGCTCGGCCCAGCCTCCGGCTTTTAAAGCCCAGAAGCTGCGGGAGGGGGCGGGCGGCGGAAATGGTTGAGCTGGGCCGGGCCCCGCCGGGGTCTCCTGGGAAGGGTCCTGGGGACGCCGCGGCCCCCGCGATCCGTGGTTCCCCCGCGCAGCTCCGGGAACTGCAGCCCGCGACCCGCGGCGTTGTCGGGGGTGGGGGGAGACGTGGCGACCGGCCGGGGGCCCACGGGCCCCGGACTTGGGACCTTTCGGGAAGGAACTCGGGGCGACCTCAGGCTGGTCCGCCCGCCCTCTCACTTTCGGGGCGAAGGCCAGGGGCCCGCAGCGGCGGGCGGGGCGGGCGGGGGCGCGGGTGCTGAGGCAGCGGAAACGCAGTGGGCAGGCTCCGCGCGCGCCCCGTGCCGCAGTGTCTCCTGCCCCTCGGTCACCCGGGCTGACCCCGCGCCCGCGGGCGAGGCTTCCCTCCGCCCTCCTCTCTCCCAAGGGGCCGGCGCCGAGCCCCGCAGCGACCCGGCGAGCGGGACGCGCAGCGGCACAGGGGCTGCCGTGCCCGCGCTCCAGAAATCCGGCTCCTTTGGTGGCATTCCGCCCTTCCGCGCGGCTGCGGCCCCCACCCCCACCCCGCGGCCTGGCAACCGGGCGGGGAACCCTGCCCGCGGCCGCCCACCCCGAGATTACAGCCCCCATGACGTCAGGCCCAGCAGCCAATGGCGGGGCGCGAGGGTGCGGGTTGGGGGGGCCGTTTCGGAGCCGCACAATGGCAGCACGCGGGGACATATGTCCCTTATTAGGGCTCGGAGCCGCCATTGTCCCTTCTCCCTCCCCCGCGCGGCCCTTGGGGTCTCCGCCGTCGGAGCGCGCCCCCCTGCGGCCTGCGGTCGCCGGGGGCCAAGGTCGCAGGGGCGGCTGCGAGCGCAGCGGGGCCAGGAGCTCGGGCGAGGCCGGCGTGAGCGCGCTCCCGTCGCTGCCCACGGTGACCTTGTGCGGGGCCCGCGAGCACCGGCCGGGGGCGCGCGCGCGCGGGGGCGTGCGGAGAGTGCTGAGCTCAGCGCCCGGTGCAGCCTGCACTGCGCCCCGCGTCCCCCCCGCATCTCCACCCGAGAGTCGTGAGAGGGAGGGTGCGAGCCAGCCCGGCGCCGGGACACGGCGGAGACCTCAGGCCTGCTGTGTGGCCAGCGACCCGGGCCGTGGCGGCGGCGGAATATTCATCTTGGGTGGCAGTCGCTCCCGAGGGGCGGGGCTTGAGCGCAGCCGCCCCCTTATCGCGGGGCCGCAGGCGGCGAGGTCCGAAGTGGGGGCGGGACCGGGATCTTCAGCCAGCGAGCCGCCGGTCCTTGCTCCCTCCCAGGGGGGCTCCGCCGAGGCGCAGCCGGAGGCTCGGGGCCAATTAGCATTTTGATTGCGGGACTGGGGGCCCATCTGGACTGAGGCCTAATTACAGGACGAACCCGCCAGGTGCCGGAGGCACGTGCCAGGCTCAGCTCCTCACCTCGTCCTCCCAAACAGTCTGCCCCGTGGCTGCTCCCCGACTGCATCCCCGTCCCCCTCCGTTAGTCCCCGTCACCCTGTCGCTCTGGCCCTGACCTTTGTCCCTCCATCTTCACCTCTTTCCTCGATCGCCCTTCACTGTTCCCCAGCTGTCCGAATCCGCTCGCTGTCCACGGCCCCGCCTCTCTCTCTGTCAACTCCCCAGCCCCTTGGCCCCCGGCCCTCTCGGAAGAGGGGGGTCTCAGAGCCCTGACACATGCGCCCCGCCACGGCGTTCCCGAGGGGACCATTCATTCGGACGGCCCTTGCTCTCGCCCCTCTGGTGGAGCTCACAACCCCTTGGGGCGCCCGGCGGGGAGGGGCAGCTGGGCCCAGGCTTGGGCCATCGGTACGAAGCCTCCCGGGTGCGCAGCGCACATGTGCCCGGCTTCCTCACCGTCCTAAGGTCCTTGCGCCTAGTCCTGGGGTCCGGCCAGGAGGCTGGGAAAGGGCAGTTGGTGATTCTCTCGCCTTTGCAAAGTCCCAGCTTCCCTCCGCCCCGCCGTCCTGCATTTGTCCCTCTGAGAGCTGGGGACATGTGAGGGGCTTCGTTGCGGGAAAGGAGACTGGGGTCCCCAGGCGACTCCACTGCATCCCCCAGCAGACCCAGCTTTGAGCCTCGGGGACTCTGTCCCCAGTCCTGGTGCACAGTGCTGCTGGGCCAGCCCCTCTTCCAGATGAGACCGGAGGGATGTCCATTCGGTGCCCCTTTCTGCCTCCCTCTGCTTCTGGGCGTGCCACCTGCAGTCCCCAGCTGGTCCCCTGTCTCCAAAAGGCTGGGCTTTGAGTCAGACGCCAAGCATAGTGTCCCTGGCACCCTGCCCCAGCAGAGCCCGGAGGCATGTACGTGCCCACCCTGGGCCCTGTCCTCACCTTCCACCCCCCTCCCCCACCCTGGGCGGCCCCAGCCCAGCCCAGGCCAGCCTAGAGGGTCCACTCCCGGACAGCTCCCTCCCTGGCTGCCAGGACCCGACCTTGGCTCCCTGGCGCCTCAGCAGCCCAGACTTCTCTTCCTGGGCAGAATGGGGCACGGGGTGTCTTTCCTTCCTGGAAGCACGTTGGTGTCCTGGGTACAGAATTGTGGCACCTGACCTGCTGCTGCCGGCTCAACCCCCGTGTCCCACCTGTGAAATGGGGCTCAGGGCCCTGCAGCCCCTCCCCACCTGCAGCTCAGGGTGGAAGACCTACATACAGCCCCTTCCAGGACTCTCAGTGGTGGGGGTCCCGCCCTCCAGGCCACAGCAGGGCCTGCCTCTGGGCTTTGTCGGGGACAGGCTGTGGGGGGGCATGGGTGCTGTTGACAAGAAGGTGGAGATGTGGGCATGTCTGGAACCATTTCCGCCCTCACCATGAAGACCTGCCCTGAACTCTCATCTGTGCTCTGCTGGGCAAAGTGATAGCAGCAGCGCCGGCTGCTGTGCTCCTGGGGCCCACAGCCAAGCCCAGGACAAGGAGCTCATCAGAGTGAAGGGCGGCCCAGGCTGGTGAGAGTTGGGGCGGGGGAGGGCGGGTGGAGAGGCGGTGGAAGGCCGTGGAGTGTGGGGAGAAGCGAACTGTGGGCTGCGTGGCCTGGGCCACGGAGGGGTGGGTGTTGAGGACTGTTCTGGAGTCTGGGGAAGGAGCCACCCGAGAGGATGAGAAGGAACAGCCCCTGGAGCTCACGTGGGTGGGAAGCTCATAGTCCCCAGGTGTCAGGTCGGACACTTGGGAGGGTTTTCTCCACCAAGGGCAGAACTTTAAATGAAACTCCACTGTGAGACCTCCTAACCAAGATTAGGAGTAAGGCCTGAAAGGGTCACACAATTTCTTCCTTTTTAAACAAAATTTTAAAAGATTTTATTTATTTTTAGAGAGAGAGGAAGGAGAAAGAGAGGGAGAGAAACACCGGTGTGTGGTTGCCCCAACCAGGAATCAAAACGGCGGCCATTTGGGTGACAGGCTAGTGCTCAATCCACCAGCCAGGACTAAAAAAAAATTAATGCATATTTCATTTACTTATTTAAGATTTTATTCATTTATTTTTTGGAGAGGGGAAGGGAGAGAGGAAAAGAGGGAGAGAAACGTCAGCGTCTGGCTGCCTCCCCAGCGCCCCGACTGGGGGCCCGGCCCGAACCCCAGGCATGCGCTCTAGACCAGGAATTGAACCCGTGACTCTGATTCGCAGGCCGGCACTCAATCCACTGAGCCCCACAGGCCAGGGCTGGGCTCACAGTTTCTGACGGAGCTGCATTGCAGAGCTAACATCAGGGTTGGTCACAGGAAGACAGCACCATCTGGAGCCCAACAGTGTTCAGTTCACATCTGGCTGCCAGTGCTGAAATTACCAGGTGGTCACAGAGCCAGGAAACACTACTCAAAATGAAGAGCCAAATCAACAATCAGAACTGAGCCAGAAATGGCACAGGCGATAGGATTCGTAGACAAGGGCAGCGCCGTGGTTGGGACTCCATCCCAGTTCTGGGGGCTGGAGGAAAGACTGAAATGTCCTTTTAAAGAAGGTCCTCACCCGAGGATATATTTATTGATTTTAGAGAGAGAGGAAGGGGGAGAGGGAGGGAGAAAAAGAGAGACATCGATACGAGAGAGAAACATTCACAGGTGGCCTCTCATAAGCTCCCCGACCAGGGACTGAACCCTAGGTACGCGCCCTGCCTGGGAACCGAAACGTAACCTTTCCATGCAGGGGCAGTACTCCAACCGACTGAGCCACCTGGCCAGGGCAGGACTTAAGATGTTAAGAAGAGACATGGAAGGTATTAAAAAGACCCAAGCCGAATTTCTAGAAATGAAAATTGCAATGGCTGAGATTAAAAAAAAAAAAAAAAACATACACAAGAAGGAATTGATCCATTAGTGGAACGAGTCTGCAGATGAGTGGAACTGAAGACCTACAGTAAAAACGACCC